ACCCAAAAAACCTTAAAAAAAATAAAAAAATGCAAAAAAAAAAAAAAAAAAAAAGAAAAAAAAAAAAAACGTAAAAGGGAAAGGAAAAAATGTACCATTTTTTGTTTTTAAAACATATGTCTACCCAACTTCAGACATTTTCTCTATTTCCAAATATTTTTTGTTATTTTAAATTTAGAAATTTTATTAACGTACATATCAACTACATATAATGGTTTAAAATGCTTCCAGAAAGGTTAAAACAAAAAAAGTTGATTAAAGCATAATGAATCATGCCTCATCAATAATATAGATTATAAATATATATATTATATATGACCTAATATTTTATGGAAAAAAGCTGTGGAAAACCAAAAAAACATGTTTTTAATCCGATTAAAAGTGAAATGGTACCTTGGAATTTTCAAACTTAAATTTTATTAACACTGTATTATTTTTATTTTGATACTTAAAATCTCCAACCAAGTATTTCTTAACTTTTTTTTTTTTCACTTCAAATTAAATCCAATTTCATTAAAAAGTATTAGTAGACATTAATTACTTGAATTTCATTTCATGTTTTTAATGGTCGATAACCTTTGGGATTTTCAACCTAAAAAAAAATATCATTAAAAGTGGACTACAAAACGTTTACAACCTCTTGGAATTTTTAATCTTAAATTTTATTAAAAGTTTATTACTTTTATGTTGCAAAATTTTTGTAATTCTTGAAATTTTTAAACTTTAATAGTATTTGATGTCTCTTAAAATTTTGAACAAAAACATAAAAATCTATTATATAAATAGAGGTAAAAATTACAAGATCAAGCTCTAATATTGAGGAAGCAGCAAGATTAGATGTCAATAAGAGTATTACAAGTAGGGATCACAGGAAGAAGTATCAAGGAGCATATTTCATCAATTAGCTTTGGTAGTGAGGATGAGAATTCATGTGCAACAAATTAGGAGCATCATTTAGCTTCGTTAAGTTATTTGCTTGTTTTGAATCCTCCACTCAATTTAACTTGTAGTGATGAATTCATATTAAAATATTTTAATATTAGGTGTAGTGATGATAAAATGATTGTTAGGTTTCATTTAACAAATTAACAATTATTGAGTTTTCTTGTACTCATGTTGAAGTACGTATTTGAATTTCAGTATTTTGTTGTATTCTTCCTTTGGATTTCATGTACATTTTTTTTCCTAATGAGGACTTGAGTTTGGTTGTTCATGTTATCCAAAGTCTTCAATTATTTTGTTTTTCATTTGATTTGCATTTGTTAATGTTATGTTTTTTGTGGTGGAGTCTGATCACGTGTTGATAACGTGAAGATTTTGGGAAACTAATGATATTAATATTTTTTGGCTACTGACATGTGGAACCGATCGGTTCAGAGATTGGGTACCGGTTCGACTAAGTGATAGCCAAAATAAAGGAAACGTTGATCAGCCACTGTCCAGTGGGAACCGGTAGCCAATTCTGTAATCGGTTCCAGAATTAAAAGATTCATCTCTGGAACTGGTAGCCAATTCCTGGTACCGGTTCCACTTTTCTGGAAACTTACGTGATTTATTTTCCTTGTTAGTTTTGGACTCTACAAAAGACAATTCTTATTGGACAAGTTGGGTTCCATTGTATGGGGCTATATATATTAACCCTAATCATTTTTTTTAGGGTGTGGTGAAATTAGAGATAAATCATACGTGTTGAATGATTAATTTGTGCCAACACAAGAGAGAGCGATTGAGAGAGATTGAGAGAAAATTCTCCTTGTAATTCTTCATCTTTGTCCTAGTGAATTTGTTCGGTGTGCTCCATGGACGTAGCCCTAAGATTTGGGTGAACCATGTATATCTTGTGTTCTTGTTTGTGATTTTTCTTTATGATTATTTGATTATTTCTCGAACAGCGTGTGTTGTTATTTTGCATTTCCGCCACAACAACTGGAATTAAATTCGGTTGATTGTGTAATGCAACTCCAACAACTGGTATCAGAGCCTTTGGTTGAGAACCTAGGGCACAAAAGGTGTTTAACGAAATTCTGAAAGTCTTTTGATCAGATCTGTCCGTTCGAGTGGGAGTAATGGCATCAGAAGATAAGACATCCACATCCATGATCGAGAAGTTTGATGGCACAAACTTCGATTTCTGGAAGATGCAAATAGAAGACCTCTTATTTCAGAAAAATCTGTATCAACCTTTGGGAGAGAAGCCAGAGGATATAAAGGATGCAGATTGGGAATTACTTGATAGGAAGGCTCTTGGCACCGATAGATTGACGTTGTCAAAGTTAGTCGCCTTCAACATTAAGAACGAGAAGACGACGATATCTCTCATGGCAGCCCTTTCTAGTATGTATGAACAGTCTTCCGTAGCGAACAAGGTGCACTTGATCAAGAAGTTGTTCAACATGAAGATGGTCGAAGGTGGTAAGTTCAACGAACATCTAAATGCATTCAACGAGATAGTTGGGCAATTAGAGTTTGTTGATATTGACTTCAAAGACAAGGTCCGAGCACTGCTAATTTTAGGGCAGTTACCTGAGAGTTAGAGTGGCACAGTTACAGCGATCAGTAGCTCTGCAGGGAAGACCAAGTTGAAGTTTGATAAAGTTGTGAGCATGATTCTGACTGAAGAAATCAGAAAGTAAACAACAGGGGTTTCCATCAGTGGTTCGGCGTTGAATGTTGAAAGCAGAAGCAAGGGTTTAAATAAGAAGAAGAGCAACAGTAGTAGAAACAGAGGCAGATCTAAGTCAAAGAATAGAAGGACACAGTCTCAAAATTTCAGGAATTCCACAGATCTCAGTAGAAGGGACATTACCGTGTTGATTGCGGACTTCCAAAGAAGGGAACTGAAAGAAAAACTGAAGCAAACGTTGTCTTAGAAGAATCAGATGATGCATTGATATGCTTTTTGGAGAGTAAGGCGGAGTCATGGGTTTTAGATTCCGGCGCATCGTTTCATGGCACTTCAAGCAAAGAACTATTTAATAGCTATGAACCGAGTAACCTTGGCAAGGTGTATTTTGGTAATGATCAGCCTTGCAGCGTCGTTGGCAAGGGTGAAGTGCAAATCAAGTTGAATGGGTCAGCTTGGAAGTTAAAGGATGTGAGACACATCCTTGACTTGAGGAAGAATCTGATTTTGGTGGGACAATTGTCAGATGAAGGTTTTGTTACAATCTTCAATGGAGACTCATGGAAAGTTTCCAGAGGCGCTATGACCATTACACGTGGTAAGAAATCTGGCACTCTCTACACAACTACCAGTGCTTGTGGGTCTATAGCAGTTGTAGAAAACAGAGAAGATCATAACATTTGGCACCAAAGACTAGGTCACATGAGTGAAAAGGGGCTCAAGATTATGCACTCAAAGAGGAAACTACCAGGCAAACGGGCAATTGATATTGACTTCTGTGAGAGTTGCGTGATGGGTAAGCAGAAGAGGGTCAGTTTTAAGAAGAGTGGCAGAGATCTCAGAAAGGAGAAATTTGAGCTAGTTCACACAGATGTTTGGGGGCCAGCCACTGTTTCATCCATTGGCGGAAAATCCTATTTCGTGACTTTCATTGATAATCACACGAGGAAGGTATGGGTTTATTTTTTGAAGCACAAATCTGAGGTATTTGATGTGTTCAAGAAGTAGAAGGCCATGGTGGAGAATGAGGCAGGTTTGAAGATCAAGAGGTTGAGGTCAGATAATGGTGGTGAGTATGAAGACACTGGGTTCAAGAAGTTTTGTTTTGATAATGGGATCAGACTAGAAAGGACTGTGCAAGGAACCCCACAACAAAATGGGGTGGCAGAATGGATGAACTGAACATTGACAGAAAAAGGCAGAAGCATGCGCATACATTTGGGTTTACCCAAACAGTTTTGGGCAGAAGCAGTCAATACAGCTTCCTACCTAATTAATCGTGGACTAGCGGTGCCTTTGGAGCATCGAATACCAGAAGAGGTATGGAGTGGCAAAGAGGTAAATCTTTCATGGTTGAAAGTTTTTGGTTTTATTGCATATGTGCATATTAGTGACCATGATAGGGGAAAGCTCGACCTCAAGTCACTAAAATGCATCTTCGTTGGGTATGGCGGAGATGAGTTTGGTTATCGACTCTGGGATAATCAGAACAAGAAAATCATCAGAAGTAGAGATGTGATTTTCAACGAGAAGGTGATGTATAATGATAGAGATGCATCACAGTTAACTAGTCCTATACAGAGTAAGCCTGAGTTTGTTGAATTGGATGATGATCCAGAGAGCATTGACGCGGAGCAGACAGATAAAGGTTCTTGGCCAGAACTCACAGAGCATAGTTCACCGCAGATTCCAACTCCTGTGCCTGCACCCAAAAGGTCTACGCGACCTCATGTACCGAATAGGAAGTATTTGGATTATTTGTTGCTCACAGATGATGGTGAGCCTGAATGTTATGATGAAGCATGTCAGGTTGAAGATGCTAGCAAGTGGGAGCTTGCAATGAAAGATGAGATGAAATCCCTTATCTCCAACAAAATATGGGAACTAGCCAAGTTGCCCATGGGGAAGAATGCTCTTCATAACAAATGGGTGTACAGGGTGAAAGAAAAATAAGATGGTTCCAAGAGATATAAGGAGAATAGTGGTCAAAGGCTTTCAGCAAAAGTAAGGCATTGACTACACAGACATTTTTTCCCCGGTTGTGAAACTGAGTACCATTCGCTCAGTTCTTAGCATTGTTGCAGCAGAAGGGTTGCACCTCGAGCAGTTAGATGTCAAAACTACTTTCCTTCATGGTGATCTTGAGGAGGAGATTTACATGCAACAACCGGAGGGTTTCTCAATCAAAGGGAAAAAGAAACTAGTGTGCAAGTTGAAGAAAAGCTTGTATGGTTTGAAACAAGCCCCGAGGCAGTGGTACAAGAAGTTTGATGGTTTTATGAAGCGACATAGCTACAACAAGTGCAATACTGACCATTGCTGCTACTTTAAGAGGTTCAAGTCAAGTTTCATTATCCTTCTACTTTATGTTGATAACATGTTAGTGGCAGGTTCTGATTTTAAAGAAATCAGCAAATTGAAGAAGCAGCTGTCTAGTGAATTCGAGATGAAGGTTCTTGGTGCAGCGAAGCAGATTATTAGGATGAGGATTAACAGAGACAAGCATAAGGGACTTTGCAGTTGTCTTAGGCTGAGTATATTGAACGGGTTCTGAAAAGGTTCAATATGAATAATGCTAAGGCGGTGAGTACTCCCTTAACTAATTACTTTTGATTATCTCAAGATCAGTGTCTAAAGACAGAGGTTGAGAAAAACTTCATGGCTAAAATTCCATATGCCTTAGCCATTGGAAGTTTGATGTATGCCATGGTGTGCACAAGACCAGACATTGCATATGCAGTGGGAGCAGTAAGCAGGCTCATGAAGGATCCAGGCAAGTTACACTGGGAAGCAGTGAAGTGGATATTGAGATATCTACGGGGTACCATAGACAAATGCCTATGTTTCAAAAGGGGCGAAGTGAAGTTACATGGTTATGTAGATTCAGACTTTACTGGTGAGGTGGACCACAGAAGAAGTATTATCGGGTATGTATTCATGGTGCGTACATCTACAGTTAGTTGGGTTTCGCAAATACAGAAGATTGTAGCGTTATCTACTACAAAGGCAGAGTACATGGCGATGACAGAGGCCAGTAAGGAGATGATTTGGTTACAAGGTTTGTTGACAGAGTTGGAATTCAAATAGGTGAAGAATGTTTTGCAGAGTGATAGTCAGAGTGCAATACATCTGGCAAAGAATTCAGCATTTCATTCAAGGACCAAGCATATAGGACTTCGGTATCACTTCATCAAATCTGTGTTAGAAGATGGGGTGTTGACACTTGAGAAAATACTTAGCACCAAGAATCCGGTTGATATGTTAACCAAGACAGTGACCATGGAGAAATTGAAGTTGTGCGCAACTTCAGTTGGTCTTCTAGCTTGAAGACAGAGAGAAGCGCACCGACATGCATGGGACATGCATGAGAAGAAGATGGAATGGGTTTACAAGTGCTCCAGTCTCCAAGTGGGAAATTGTTATGTTTTTTGTGGTGGGGTCTGATCACGTGTTGATAACGTGAAGATTTTGGGAAACTAATGATATTAATATTTTTTGGCTACTGACGTGTGGGAACCGGTTCAGAGATTAGGTACCGGTTCCACTGAGTAATAGCCAAAATAAAGGAAACGTTGATCAGCCACTGTCCGGTGGGAACCGGTAGCCAATTCTGTAACCGGTTCCAGAATTAAAATATTCGTCTCTGGAACCGGTAGCCAATTCTGGTACCGGTTCCACTTTTCTGGAAACTTACGTGATTTATTTTCCTTGTTGGTTTTGGACCCACAAAAGACAATTCTTGTTGGACAAGTTGGGTTCCATTATATGGGGCCATATATATTAACCTTAATCAGTTTTTTTTAGGGTGTGGTGAAATTAGAGATAAATCATACGTGTTGTATGATTAATTTGTGCCAACACAAGAGAGAGCAATTGAGAAAGATTGAGAGAAAATTCTCCTTGTAATTCTTCATCTTTGTCAAAGTGAATTTGTTTAGTGTGCTTCATGGACGTAGCCCTAAGATTTGGGTGAATCATGTATATCTTGTGTTCTTATTTGTGATTTTTCTTTATGATTGTTTGATTATTCTTCGAACAGCGTGCGTTGTTATTTTGCGTTTCCGCCACAACAATTGGAATTAAATTCGGTTGATTGTGCAGTGTAACTCCAACAGTTAATTCAATTTTTAAAACATTTTTGCTTAATATTCCTTGGTCTCGTTTCTTGAAAAAATTTAGATGATATTTGTATATCAACTTGTTTCTGTGAGTTTTGGATTGCTATTTTTTCTTTTTTCTTTCTCCATTGTATTTATTATTTGAAAGTTCGTTCATCTCGAGAAATTTGAGTCCATGAAAGGAAAGTCTTAACTAAAATGTTATAATGTTATAGAAAGAATAAGTGTTTTCTTTCTTACAATGCAAAATGCTGGAAGGTTATTTCTTTTGTGCTTGATCCATGTGGATTACAAAATGATAATTATATATATATATATATATATATATATATATATATATATATATAAACAATTATATTTTAGTGATGATCAAAGGAGTGTTAGGTTTCGTTCAACAAATTAACAATTATTGAGTTTTCTTGTACTCATGTTGAAATATTTATTTGAATATGAGTATTTTGTTGTATTCTTTCTTTGCATTATATGTATTTTTTTTTCCCCCTAATGAGGACTTGAGTTTGGTTGTTCATGTTATCTAGAGCCTTCAATTGTTTTGGTTTTCATTTGATTTGCATTTGTTAATTCAATTTTTAAAATATTATTGCTTAATTTAGATAGTATTTGTATGTCAACTTGTTTCTATGAGTTTTGAATTGATATTTTTTCTTTTTTCTTTCTCCATTGTATTTATTTTTTGAAAGTTCATTCATCTCGAGAAACTTGAGTCCATGAAAGGAAAGCCTTAACAAAAATGTTATAATGTTATAGAAAGAAGAAATGTTTTCGTTCTTATAATACAAAAATGTTGGAAGGTTATTCCTTTTGTGCTTGATCCATGTGGATTACAAAATGAAAATTATACACACACACACACACACACACACACACACACACACACACATATATATATATAATTGATTAGAATCTATATTTTAGAATATATCTTAATATACATGATTTTGAGTTTAAAGCCCAAGAAGCGAAATAAATTATCTTTAGGTGCATGATGATTATTTAAAATATTTGAACGTGAAAATATATGAGAATTGCTCTATTGAGAGATTTCTACATAGAATGATTATAGATAGAAGTGTGATAAAACTAAAAAAATATTTAGTACAAGTAACAAAAATGCAAATTAAAAATAGAAGCTCATTTGTAATATAAATGACATATGAAGGATATATTTTCATATTCCTTATTTCGCATTGAAAAACATCAAATCAAATAAATTATAGTTTATCAACTTAATCACTGATCAAATAAATTTATTTTAAAAATTTATTATAATCTTATGGCAAAAAAGCATAAAACCCCCCTCAAGTATCAAAAATCAGCATTTTACCCCTCTGAATTACAAAATCGAGCAAGTCAGTCCCTCAACTATCAGAAATGATCAATTTCACCCCCTGACAGTCCTTTTCGGCTCATTTCCGGCTCAGATAAAGCGCGTGAGGTTACTTTCTGATATAATTTCAAAACTGCCCTTGCAATATGACCGTTGTAGCCCTGTCTATAAATTGAGTCCAAAATTCCTTTTTTCTTCCTCCAACTACAACTGCTCCCCTCTCCAAGTGCAGAAAAAAAAAGACTCCATTAAAGTTGAAGAAGTTAAGGTCAATTGGGTGTGAATATATATGTGTGTGTGTATTTTTGTACTTTATATATATATATATATTATCATATATAATGTATACGTATATATGTTTTCCATTTTAACAATTGTGTGGTAATATATTTGTATAAGCAGAGGTTGTCCTTTGAGTAGTGTCATAAAAACTCTTGGGAGTAGCCTTGCCTCTCAATTCATTTCAATTTTTTTTGTTGGTTGCATTTTAGGTTATGCATGGTTAAGGACCACCAATGGGCAGAGTATTTTTTCAAATCTATAGGTAATCTGGTGGAACTTCTGTTTATATGTGTGGAATTTGATGGTTAAATCTATTTGTGATTGGATAACCTCATGCACCACATTAGTCGATTTGTTAATGAATGAAATCTATTTATGTTGTGTAGAAATTAGAAATTATTAATGTGACCCGTTTTAATACCCAGTCACAGAATGATCATTTGTTGGGTTGTATAATAATCCTTGCAGAAATGTGCAGTAAAGCTCAAAAAAATTGTAGTATCATTTGCCGACACAAGCCACTTTGCAAAAAAATGAGCATAGATCTTCTATAGAAAAACTTCAACGCATATAAAGTTTCCGGCAAACCTGAGACACTACCATTCTACTAAACCCACTGATATCAAATACCACAAATGGGCTAAGCTATATCCACAAACTGTAATAGAGGCTTGAGATTGCGGTCATTACCAATATAGAGGATCTCCTTCAAGCAATCAAAGGTTCTTAAGATTTGGCATGAAATAACTAAATCTCCTATCGTCAAGGATGAATTTCACTATGCGCTTCCTACTGACACGCAGAACCATGCCTTTTAAGCCACCAGTCTAGGAACACACTGCTCACAGGCGCTGGCACTACCATATAGCATCATTAGACAAAGAATCAACATTATACTAATGAGATACTTTATAAGAGAGAGGGAGAAAGAACGGGGAGAGAGTGCACCTATTCAACTATGGGTCAAACCAGTTACATTACCTCGGTTGAGTTTGATAGAATATCTTTGATACCACAAGCTCTCATTCTTTCTCTTCTTAATGTTGACCCAAGTGGTATTGGTGCATCACCCAATTGGTTTTTTCAAGTTTTCTATTCTTGCCAAAGTTTGTGTAGAGAACTAGGATTTTCTTACACCCTTTCTATTTACCACTAACCATGACCGGCCTGGTCTTGCCGGTTTTGTGCCACCGAGTTTCTCCACCTTGCAAGTCACATTCGGTTTGAGAAGATTAATACCCAAAAGAGGGAACTTGAAAGGCTAAATTTTGAAGGTATTGATACTAACAAGCCAAGCTGCCAAGTTCTCTTTTTCACCACCACCACCACCATGAGACATCCCCCCTTACCCATTTTCTCTCTTTACTCGCTCTCTAAATTTTTCGAGTGAATTGGGAAGAGTGAGGTGATGTATTAGCATGAGGGTATTGATGGTATTTTCCAATTTTAATTTTATTTGCCTTTTTTAAAATTTTAATTATAATGGGCATTTTTGTAAATGTACAATAACGGTGATCGGAAATGAGTCGGAAAGGACTGCCTGGGGTGAAACTGATCATTTCTGATAGTTGAGGGACTGACTTACTCGATTTTGTAGTTTAGGGGGGTAAAATGCTAATTTTTTATACTTGAGGGGGGTTTTATGCTTTTTGCCTAATCTTATTAATAACTTAGATTTACACTACGGGCATCTGCACGTGCTCTTTTGCTAGTGATACTAATGTTATGTTTTGTAGATATTCATATAGCAATTGAAAATATTTATTCTTTAAATTTACAATTTAATTTACTCTTTCAATCACGGGTAAATGCACGTGCTCTTCACTAGTATTCTTAAAATTTTGGATAAATTGCACTCACACTCCTTAGGTTGGAATTAAAGACAAATAGTTATAACTTAGACACTTTTTTGAACAATAACACCCCTCAAACAATGACATCCCAAATCAAGGTAAAAGTACCTTATTTCCTTTTGACTTATGAATTGACTAATTTAAATTATAAATTTACCATTTTAACTTTCTCAAAATATTTCAATGGACAAAATTAACCTTCACAATACGACTTTAATTTGACAATTATGATCATTGACCTTGACACTATATTCACACCCTTTTGATTATTTAGGATTATGTGATCTTTATTTGTCAATAAACTCTCATAAGTCCTAAACTACCCATAATAATTGACCAATAACTAAATACTTTTTTTAAAGGCAATAACTATCTTCTTGGGACTACATGATTGTAGTTTATTTATTTATTTATAATTAGTATATATTATATATTGTTACAAGTATTATTACCCATTCACGAAAATATTCATTACTTATTTTTTATATGGTTCTTGGGTTTGTTACGGATTTGATTTCTGCTATTAAACATATGTGGATTGAAAGTTATGCTAAAATGATAATGTTATTATTTTCTTTATCTCTTCTCAATGTCAATTTTTTATTATTATTTCTAATCAAAGATTGATGAAATTTAATATTTAATAATTCTATCAATTAATAAATTTTGCACCTAACCAATGCAATTATTTATTCCTTTTTGAAGAGTAATATAACTTGTTCTGTTTGCGAATATGGTGTTTTTTTTTTATTATTATTTTTTTACAAACTATAATTTGTAATTAATTTGATATAGAGTAATTGTATAATGTAACATGTTCATAAGCATTTTATTAGACTAAATTAAAATGGTTTGAGAAGGTTAAAAAGTAAATTGGTAATTCAAATAAGTCAATTAATAAGTTAAAGAGCAATAATATATTTTAAACTTGATTTGGTGTGTCATGTTTAATTTACTAAACTTAGGATGTCATTGTCCAAAAAGTGCCTAAGTTGTAGCTATCCGTCTTTAATCCAAACTTGAGAGGTGTAAGTGCAATTTACCCTAAATCTTTAATATTTTAAATTCGTGTTGAAATGTCCATTTTCTCTGATTTAGTCTCTAGAAGCCAATTTAAGACCTTTTGGATCCTTGGCCATAAGAGTAATTTGCTTCAGTTTTCTTATGGTTCATACATTCCTTCTGAGTTGTCTTTATAGGGTGCACATACATCCCCATCAATCATGTACTATAAAAAAATATTTAATATCCGGGTAGCGGTTATGTAATGCCGGTCAATGAAAATTTCATCATTTTATAGACACTACAAAATAGTGAATTAGTTGTAGTAGAAGTATTGTCTTTTTGATACTCCGAAATATTAAATACGATAGGTGGATTTTGTGTAATTCGAATTCAAAATGAGTAAAGTAAGACATCAAGAATGTTATAAATTGAAAGGAGATTTATTTTAGAGTCACATTAAGTTTCATTTGATGCCATTTTATCACTTGTGAAATCTAATTTTAGTAATTTAATTGTACCATTAAAATTCATATATAAATTTAGTCTCAAACATGTTTTAATATACGTGATTTGTGTGAGATGAAATTTTTTTTATTCGAAAGAGTTTGTGACACGGTGACACCATTAGAAAAAATAACTAAATAAATTTGTCACACAATTAAAATTATCCAAATTCCAAATATACCCCATGCAAATAACTTAATTGGCCAGCCCATTTATTTCCAGTCCAAATAAGGCTCAAATTAGCATGAATCAAATTCCAAATTTTTAATCATGTGATTGTCCAGCCCACTTATTACCAGACCTAAAAAGGCCCAAATCAACCCTTACAATTTAGGATCCAAAGAACACAATAAACCGAACTAAACAATTGAAACACAAATCCCAATGAAAGCCCAAACTTCCATGACAAGTTAGGAAACGTTTCCAATGACCATAATACCCATGACCTCCCACTAATATTTCAAACCTACCAGTAACTCATGGACTAGTCCCACGCCTATAAATACAATTTCACGAACCGCCTTCTTCTTGAAACCTTTTCAGTGTGAAGGCTGTGAAGTCTCTCCGTGCTTAACGATGGCAGAAGGGGACGATTCAATGAGGAAAAGGAACAGAGATGAGAATAATAAGGAAACTTCCAAGGTCTCTGGTCGTGTCGCCTCTATAATCGCCGCCAAAAAGCGTAGAAAGTCCGGTAACCGCCTCATCTGTCAGGTACTTCTGTCTTAAATTCTTGATTTCTTGAGCTTTGATTATTGGGTTTTTGTTATTTTTGGGACTTCCATTGAATTTGGTTTTGGAGTATGTGATTTTTTCATCAGGAAGAAAAGAAAATGTTTGGGGGGTAAATTTGATTTTTATTTATTTATTTATTTGTTGATAGTTGCAAATCTTAAAAAAAAAAAAAATAATAATAATAATCTGGTTTTTTGGTTTATTTAGGTGGTTTTTTGATGAATAGTATTGTTAAGGGTTGATATCAGTTGCACCAAGAATCCTATCTTCGGTTCTTAATATAACTATCTAATCTTTATATACCTTGTACTCTTTTTTCTATCAAAAGATACAGAGATAATTTGGTGAAATTTCCATGAATCCTATGATTCTTGATTTGTGTTGATATCTATGTTTTCCTGGTTTGTAAAATATTACTATTTTATACTTGTTTGTTTGTTCATTTTTTTTTTTTTCTCATTATCTGCCTAAGTTATAATGTTCTTATTGTATCTATAATTAATGGATTGTCCTTTTTGTCATAAAGCCCTCTGAACTACATAATCTTTGTTGTGTAACATAGTATGTGTCAATCTGTCATGGATACAGGGAATGTGCTTTAGCCTTCCTACTATTGAGGATCCCTTTAATGACAGGCATGGGAAATTGGATACTAGAAGAAAAGAAACGAAGAAGCTTGTGCATTCCCTAGCACATGACACTATGTCGGTTAATGGGAACAGTGTTCTACAAAGTAAAGGGACCCCAGGTAGAAATCATATGAAGATGGAGCATCAAGGACAGGAAATGGTAAAGATTAAGAATTTGGAGAATGAGCAGATAATATCAGATATATCAATCGATGAAGTGGACCAGAAAATCACAATAAAGCCAGCAAAAGGACACGACTTTGAAAATTCGGGTTGTCCTTCGAGTTTTTTACTTCTGTGCTTGAATTCGATAAAAAATGCTTTGTGGCACGATGGGATCTTCAGTGGTGAAGAGGATAAGCCTTTGTTTGTTGACACATGGGGATTTGAGTTTTGGAAATGCTATTCAGCTGGAAAAGATATATTAGAGACAAGTGGGTCTTGTTCTACCACGGAGCAAATTGCTTGGATGACTTCAACTGCTGCTGATAGCATTGCAAGTTTGGAGAAAGACGGTCTATCATTCAGCAGTCCCTTTCTTTTGTACCTTGTGCCATCCAAGGAGAAAGCCATTAAGGTTAGCAAACATTTATTCTCCTTGAATTCTCAATCATAGTTGTTGTTTTTCTTATGACATATTAATCTCTTTTGACCCAGTTTTTTTTCCAACTTTAACCTCTCCCTTGAGAATTTAATTCTTACTATCATGTTGTGTTCCATGGCATTTGGAGGTAAATTTGCCTTTATGATTTTAGTCATTGTAGAAAAAATAATAGAAGCAGTTGAAAGAATGTTGCCTTGAAATCTAAAAATCTAATTCTAATTGATTTAATTATTGTTTGTGGAAATCTCAAAATAATGTGGAAAAATGCATCTTTGTTCTTTTCTGCTTTTGATTTTTGGATAAGTAAATAAATCCACTAAGATTGCCAGAACGGATGTAAACAGAGGCATACAGAACCTACTACACACCCCTAAATACATGCCCTCCCAAAATCTGACAAAAGAATCAATATAATTGGAATCGGACCCCTTAATCCAAAAAGAGAATGTTATTAACAAAATCAGTTTTAGTCTCAAAACTAGAAACCTGAGCTTTCAAAAGTTCTTAGTCTCATTTTACTCCATATGTACCACAAGCCATAAGAAGAGTATATCTTACACCACCTTAAATCTCACCAGTTGACAACTCCCTCTTTAACTCCTAAGGCCCTCGTCATTCGACTGACTACAAGAGGGCGAGAAAGAGGGCAATACATCACACCATTTTTTTTTACAGAATCTTTTTCCATTTATTATTTTGAGGAAGTAACAATTCGACTTATTTTAGATATGATGACAGCTGATGATATAGTTTCATATCCTTGGAATAATAAACAACCTTTTTTCTAGAACTTGAAGGGATCTGTTTAGCAACAAAAAGAAAAAAGATAACTAAATTTTTATGTGACTTGTATTAAGCCTCATTAGTCATTATGCCATTAATATAGTTTGTTCTGACTGCCTTTCAATCATACTCAGGTACGCTCAGTGTGCAAGCCTCTGAAAGCTCTTGGAATACATGCAGTGAGTCTACATTCTAGTTCTTCCTTGGATCACCAAATTCATGGGTAAGTGTAAGATGTTGACACATGCAAGACAACAGCATTTTGTTATATATCTAATTTTGAATATCCGGTTTGTACAAAGTGCTACAAAGATTAGCCTTGAGAGATTGTTGACGCATGTGTGTGGACTGAAAAGAGTCTGCATATGCTTGAGAGACGAGCAAGGTTGATTGTGCTTATGTCATTTGATGATGTTTGTTGTGTACATGCAATCAGAGATTGCCCCTAGTAGCCCTCATTTTGATGGCATTTCTTAGCCTGAATTAGCTCGCTTATTTTACACAACAATTGTTTCAGGCATTCTGGTGCCTCAAATCATTTAATCTGTTTGGGGCAGGGACGGAGTCAGCATGGGCTTAGGCTGGCCCATTAGTTTTTATTTTATTTTATGCATATAATTTGTAAAAATTTACAAAATGCCTCCCCTAAATCTATTTTTTTTACTAACAATTTCTTTAATTCTTTATTTCTTTATTTCTTTTCCTTCTTACTCTTCTTCTTCAAATTTCTTTTTATGCTCTTCAAAAAAATTTGCATTCTCTTTCTTCAAACAAAACCTAATTTTTTCCCCTTCAAAGTTCTCAATATTTGTTTTTTCATCTTTCTTTTTCTTTTTTCTTCTTAAAAATCTTCTTTTTCTTGCACTTATGTATGATTCATTTGCAATAACCTTTTTTTTTTTTAACTTATTCTTTAATTTTATTATTGAAATTTTATATACTTAGGGCATGTTTGGCAATCATTTTCTGTTTTGTGTTTATGTTGGCAAATTGGTGAAAAAGATAAACAAGACACGAAAACACATTAGTGCACTGATACTACACTATTATTTTTTGGCTGCTTGTCTTGCTGCACTGTTAGTTGAAAAAAAAAATCATGCTTAATATCCCCGGAACAAAATTCCTGGCTCCGTCCCTGTGTGCGAGTACAGTGATCTTGGTACATATGTCTTCTTTAACATGTTTGATGAAAGAATTAGGTATATTGATTGTGCATGTAAGGATCTAATAGGGACCAACTTACCATGGAAATAGGATTATGAATTCACATCTCTTGTGTCGGCCTAACTGCGATGCTGTTTGATGCAAGAATTATGGTTATTGTTGGTGCATGAGATGATCTTGCGAGGGACCATCTTGTCCTAAGGGTAGGATTGTGAATTCATGTCTCATATGTCGCTTAACTGCAATGCATTCTCGTTGTTTTATGTGCGTGTATTTGTTACAGTTTCTATTTGCTCTTTGTTTCTTTGGTAGAAATTTTTTACTTGCTTAGCCACCAGATTTGAATATTTTATCATATTCAGTACCTGCCTTTGGCTTATATTCTATGCGTTTTTTTTTTTTTTTTTAATTATTTTAAGACCATATTTTCGCCTCGTTTGTTCTTTTGCTAAGTAACTTCCTCTCATTTCTTCTCTTACACAAAACTGCTTTTCTTCCACAGTCTAAAGAGTTGCGAGCCAGAGTTCATCATATCAACACCTAAGAGACTTTTGGAACTTGTTTCCTTGAAGGCTATCGACATATCTGGGGTTTCCGTACTGGTAATGCTCCTACCTCCTCCAATTATTATTATTTTGTAATTTTTAACGACATTCAATCTATTTTTTGAAACCTAATCTCTTACTTCTCGCTGCTTTTCACATCATCATTTCTTACTATATTATAGATAAAAAAAATGAGGAAATTGAAAGGCAGCAGTCGTAAATTAAAAGTTATTTATTTATTTTTGCTTCTTCAGTTGTTGAACTTTTCTTTGGACACTTTCTCTTAATTTTTCATTCTACTTTCTGTCTTCCCCTCCTGTTTCTAACTAACAGATTCTTGTTGGTAAAAGTTCTGTATTTCTCTCCCCTGTTTTGTGCATTGTGTTAATTGTATTCAGCTTGTGTGTTTGCCTCTTAGTTTTCTGAAATAATAGATTGTAACTTATGTGCTAATTAGCTGTTCAGTCTCTGTCTAACAACAGAGCAGGGAACTTTAAGTTGTGGTGCTTTTGCAATATACACACTTGTTTTTCTGGGAATCTCTTTTTTCTATTCGTTGTGTTATATATGTGTGTGAGTGACGTGTTTTGGACATTCTACTGCATTTTCCAGGCTCACTGAAAACCACACACTCTTACCGCAATATGTGTTAGCCTCATTGAGCAACTGTTTGAATACGATTTGTAAAGAGCTGTAAGTTCTGTTAAAAGGATATAATAGAACTCTTAGTATCAGTATGCATTTATACATTTTTTAATAAATGGCTTTACTTTCCACAGACTTGTTATTTTGAGCTTTATCATCTCTTTCTGATCCCTTTTTGGCACTTTATCAGGTGGTTGATGATTTGGAAGCTTTTATTGAAGGTGGTTACTTTGACATTATTCAGTCCATTAAGCAAGCCGTCTCTGGAAATCCCCAAACTATAGTTTTCAGTAATTGCTTGAATTATGCGTCCGTTCCACTTGTGCGCAAACTTCTGCGGGGATCAATCTGCAGATTAGCACTTAATGATTTTATTGCTAGTCAAAGTGCTTGTATCATCCAGTCTGTGCACATGTGCGCCCCAGAAGAAAAACTATCAAAGGTATTTTGACATCATTGTTCAAATCCTTAACTTTGTGCCTTTGATGTTAGTACGCAAGGAAAAAAAACTATTACATGATCTGTATCGGTTCATCAACCTTTTTTCCTGAATAAATAGAATGGAGTGAACCAGCTTCTCCTAAATTAATGAGAAACAATATAAATTTGGTTTGAAGATTTGTGAATTGGATATTCTTCGGTGAAAGACATTAGTGGTGTTTTGTGTTGCCTGTGCCAATGATAATCATGGATAACATTATAGTTGCCCGTTTGTTGAAGGCTTCCTCCCCCCTACCCCAACTCTCCCCCGAAGAGTGAAGAAAGAAATTATAAATTATCTGGCCAAATCTGTTGTAACACAATGGTAATAAATTGGTAACATGGCATCTTAAAAGGAGGCGTGGGGTTAAGGATTAAATTATTATTTCTCATCAATAAAGAATATTATAGATTGTTAGGCAGTTGTTCTATCATTTACCTAATACTTGTCTCAAATGACTTTTGCAGAGCATGCAAATTTTGGATCAGGCTTGTGGCAATAGACTTGGCACCAAGTTCTTTAAGGCGCTGTTTGTAGTTGGGAAGGATAGCAATTTTCATATGTCAGTTACTTCCATCAAGTCAAAGGGTTACTCCATCTCAACAAACTCAATTTGGAGTAATTCTGAAGTACAAAACAGGTAAATTTCAAACTTCTTTGCCATGTTTACCTCTTGTAAAGTTTTTATACAATCCTTCATTCCTTAAATTGGACCCAGTCATTTTCCATGTTATACAACAACCCACAGATCTTGCTGGATTTCTTATTTGCCACTTTGCAGCCTAGATTATTTGATATAAGTTGCTGTAACCTTCAAGTGAATTTAAGCATCCAACAAAATTGCTCCCTTCTTCCTCTCCCTCTATTTCTGATGTTATCACAGGCATGTGGTGCATCTCCGAGGCTTTGCTTGATTTGGCACGAAATAAATGGGGAGGAAAGGGGAGCCGAGCCATCATCATGGATGACGGTGCAAGACTGATATTCATTTAAAGAAAAAATATACATTGATATTAGTGTTTTAGTGAATGGATGATAGTCTACGACTGATTCATTTAAAAAAGAAGAAGAGAGAGTTGATATTAGTGATTTAATGAATCAATTATAGCTATCGTTGCGCCCTTGACTTCTTGGGTGGTATAACCTCCATCCCCCTTTGAGGAGGTCGATGCCAAATCTGATTTTATGAGATTTTTTCATCAATTTCTAAATTGGCCTACATGGAGAATCAAGTTTACCAAAACTGTTGGGAAGGTTCAAGCCCCAAGTGGGGCAACAATAAAAATATAATAATAATAAGAGAAAAAAAAAAATTTGTGATAGCTCCTTCATTTGATAAAAAAGGTCCATTTTTGGATTCTATATTTGTTTTAATATTTTTCCTTAAAACTCAACTAAGCCTTTTCCTAGTTCCTTGGAGTCATATTATGCTTTCTTTATCTGCTAATCGGTTTAATACAAGTGTTTCATCTGTATTCTCTATAAATGATTTATCAAAAAAATATGTATTCTCAGTAAATGAAAATATAGTATTTTATTGAAAAGAATAAAGTGCAGAATTCCCTTCCTTTCCTTTCTTTTACGATTTTCTTAGAAGCTATGCCGGTTATTCTCTTACATTTTTTCTGTCTAGTACTATGCTTTCTATAGGTTCTTGTACAGAATAAGTCGACTTGCTTGTCTCATATTTGTACTTAATTTTTGGCAGTAAATTGAGGTCTCCAGTCTCCGTGATCAACGTGGAACACATCAGTACCACCGATTTAGCAGAATTCGAAGTTGTAATTATCTATGATTTTGCACTCTCAATTGACAAGTACATCAAGATCCTGACAAGGATGGCTCGTCGGACTGTCAATGGCGTGTTGTATAGCTTTCTCACAAGAGAAGATGCACTTGTTGCTGGACCATTGATTGAAATCCTCGAAAAATGTGGGCAGGCAGTGTCTGAACCCTTGAAAATTTTATGCCACTCTTCTTCTTCATTATTGGAACATTGAAGTCCGAACTTGCTTTATTGTTTTATATCTTCTGTTGTAGTCTTGTATCATCATGAAATTAATAATAGATTGATTTTTTTATTCTTACTGCTTGACAGTTTTTTTGCAACTGGTGTGATGATAGAGATTTTGAATGTCGTCTCTACTCATGAATCTTTGTTTGAAGAAATTCAGGAAGAAATGGATAGGAACTAAAATCTAAGAGGATTCGAAACGAGACATGGGAAGTTTTTTTTGCCACCATTACAACTTGTATTTAAGAATTCATGTTCTTCTTAGATTTAACTTACTGAAAAAATTACAAGGGGATCATCAAATGATCCAATTAAATTTGCAAGAACATTTTCACACAAACATGTAAAACTCAAGCAATTGTGTTCCTAGGTCTGCCATTTTGTGGTTTTCTGTTTGTTAATGATAGTTCTGAAAGTGTTTCTAAGAATGTTATGTTGCCGTGGTCATACACTGTCCAAAATCTCCACATTTTTGGGTCCGGTGGTGTTGGGTCTCCTAGAACACTTCATAATCTCCACATTTTTGGGTCCGGTAGTGTTGGGTCTCCTAGAACACTTCATAATTCACTTCCGGACACGTGCAATCCCTTCCTACTATTGCTATGATTCAAATTTTGTTCCTTTCTCCTCTCTCTTTTCCCTTTCCATCCTTCCATTATCCTTCCTGTCAAACTTAGCCTCAGCTTCACCTTCCTCTTTCAGATGATATGCTTACAATGTATTATATCACATTATCAATGTGTTGTAACAGCTTTGATATGCTTTTAGAAAATCAGCATTTTTTTTTTTGGTCTTACTATATAGATCACCATTTTTTTTTGTCTTACTATATAGCCATTTAATTTAATTTATTTTTTATTTTTTGAAAAAAAAAAAGAAACACCTTTGTAATATTTGTTCTATTCAATTCTGTTCATAGTAACAAAGAGAGACATTTTATATCACATTATGGATGTGTTGTAACAACTTTGATATGCTTTCAGAAAATCAGTATTCTTTTTTGTCTTACTATACGGATCACCATTTTTTTTTTGTCTTACTATATAGTTATTTAATTGAAAAAAGAGCGTAAAGAAACACCTTCATAAATGCAACCATAAATTTAGATAAATTTTGTCTTTCTATTCATGAATCATGATGACTACAAAACTTAAATTAGGGTGGTCATTTCCTAGTGGGATGGACCTAGTTGGGCCACTAGGCCTGTGCCGTATAAAATCCATTGAGATGAATACAGCATTTTAAGCTAATTGCAGCTACACCATGGCTGCTTCAAGCCTAAAGGAGCTAGAATTATGAGCAAGTACCAATTGGGTTCTCTATCTGCCTCCGTCTGTTTCGCCTCCGTTTGTTTCGGTGTAAAATATTTTTTTCACAAAATATATATATATATATATATTTGATATTGGATAAAAGTCTAGGTCAGGGTTGAGGTTGACCTCATCGGGCCAGCGTGTAAATTAACTTGCCGAAAATTAATGAATAAATTATTTTCGTTAGATTTCAATTTATTTTTCTTTGTAAATATTTTACGACAACCAAACAACAAAAAATAAAAAAATATTTTCTAAAACATATTTTACATCCAAACAAACGAAGCTTTAAAGTTTGTTAATATCCCACCCTTTTTACGTTTCATTATTCCACTTACATGACTTTTTTTGTTGTTTTGCCTATGAAATGTTTGTTGTCATTCCAGGCATTGGAAAGGCAAAATGGTTAGCCAAGATCGGTTACATATATACCAGAACTTCAAGAAAGGTAGGTGAGATTATGAAACGTCAAGGGTCTATGTCAAATATTGACGAACCTCAGGAGTGGTAAATGGAATTTACCCTTAAAAGAACTACCATTACTTTTTCCTTTATACTCTGTTTGGTTAGATGAAAATAAGTAAGAAAAGAAAAGAAACAGAAAATGAAAAAAAAGTGAAGTGAATGAAGAATAAAAGTTATTTTATAACATACATTTGGTTAGCATGGAAATTTATTCAAGAAAATTATAAGAAAATATTAATTTGTTATTTTTTATAGCATGAAAATGAAAATAAAGTGATTGAATATATTAAAATTACTGTTATGATTTCAAATACTAAAAAATAAGTGAATTTGTATTTGATGATGTCTATTTTTAAAAAAGAAATAGTAAAATAATGAATTATTAAATTTAATAATATAATTATTTATATTTAAATGTAGCCAAGGAGAAACTCTGTTCCGCTCTTCTTTTCATAAGTGTATATATATATATATATTATTGGAACTGAGCATGGTATACTGGGTGCAGACATTCTCTACCGAACAGATTTTTTGAAAACAAAGTATTTAGAAAGTATCTTGTTTCTATAAAACAAAAACTGATATATGTATTCCACCAAACGTGTGGTGGAATGCATATTTTATTATTAAAATAATATACGAATAATGTATTCCACCACACTTTTGCTTTGTACAATTATTAGAACCACAAACATGATTGAATACACACCGTGTATTCATACATTGTTGCACTGTACTTTGTTTCCGTATAACATAGAATACTACATGAGAAGTTGACACCAACAACCCCTTAACCTTTCTTTTGGAATGACAAAATTTATATCTAAGTGTTATGTTTTAAAAAATCTATATATATATATATATATATATATATATATATATAAATTTGAAATTTACTATGTTTGAGAGTAGACCGTAGACACAATGAATTTAGAATTGGAGAATTTTTAATTTAATATTTGAATTAACTCTATTTGTTTCGACATAAAATAATTCCTCTTGTATTCAAGTAAAATATATATTTTTTATTTTTAATTTACGATATTTGGTAAAGGTTTAGGTCAAGGTTGAGTCTATCGTGAATAACATGTAAAATAGTTTGCCTAAAATTAATAAATAAGTTGTTTTTATTAGGTTTTAAATTTTTTTTTCTTCGTAAATATTTTAAGACAACAAAATATCTGAAAACAAAAAAAATATTTTTCAAAAAATATTTTAGGCGGATATTCAAAAACATAAAAATGCAATTTCATATCAAATCCTTTTTATATATTTATATTATTATTATTATAAACATAAAAATATTTGACTAAATGATGTATTTAAAAAGATTGGAATAATCTATGACTTACTTGAAATTGTTATACACTCGTCATATTATAAAAATAAAAATATTTGACTAAATGATGTATTAAAAAAGATTGGAATAATCTATGACTTACTTGCGGAGACAATAATAACTTAAACACAATTTTTTTTTTTTTTTATTATTTTAAAAAAGGGATAATATTTAATGTCATTTAATAAAATTTTTTCATTGTTTGGCATTCTATGCCTTTCCTCCCAAACATGAAAGATCAAGATTAAAATGACAACCTAAACAATTTTAGGGTCAATAAAATATGTGTGCATGACCACCTCAAATTTTTTTTGGCAATATTATTTTTAGTAATAATATATGGAGACTTTAAAATTGGTAGTTCGTCAAATTACAGATTCAAATCTATTTCGTTATGTCACACCTTTATTCAATTCCATAACCACTCAAAATGAGACACACAACATATGACAAATGGTCCAAACATTGATACAACAATTGTGACTCTGATTGCCTAAAACTTGAATTGTATTGATATATATATATTTTTCCTTCTCACCATTAATTGAGACAGTAATAACTTTAAAAAAAGAAAAGAAATGCAACCACTAAATTTTCATGGGACACTCAAAGAAATTGTGGAATTGGTCAAAGACAGTGTTGTGAATCGATTGGGATTAATAAAGGAGTGATGTTTCCAAACCATCTTTTTCATGTGTGGTGTTACCTCAATTGTTTATTTCATGGAACTTGCCCCATCTGTATTTGATTGGACTTCTCACCTGTACGGACAGCTCAACACAACACATGACCAAACCGTTCAGCTATTTTGTCAATATATATATATATATATATATATATATATATAATCATTTCATTTTAATTTCTGATTATGGCCAAAAAAGATAATTACTAAGAAAACATAGTAATTACACTAATAAATCAGTAGCTTAGTAGTATTAAGTCCTTACTTTTTAAAAGAAATGCAAAGCTACGAGCCTTGATGAACAAGAGGTGGAAGTACAAGAATTCGAGCCTCGATAAACAAGAGATAATTTTTGTATATATATATATAGATATCTTAAAAATTTTAAAATAATTATCAAAAAGACATAATAATTACACCCACAGGTAGTGACCTATTCTTACTTTTCAAAAGAAGTACAAGAATACGAGCCTCGATGAACAAGCGGTACTTTTTGTGTGTGTGTGTGTATAAATATATATATATATAAAATATTTTATTTCTTCTCATGAATAGTATTTTTCAATGGGTATTTAAATGAATATCCAAAATTTTATAGTTAGGTGTTGATGATTTTTCTGTAACCTCTTCCAAGACTCAACCATTGTCGGCAGAAGAATACAATCCCTTGTACATTAAGATTATTGTAAAATAATCTGTCATGGACTATGATCTAATTCATAATTAGTGAGATTACACAATTGTATATAGATTAAAATACCCTTTATGTCATTTTAAAAATGTGTTAGGTTGTATTTCTCATTTTTGTCTTGCATAGTGTGTCCCATGCCTAGTTTACCTACTATCAAAATTCAATATTTAGGTACCCTTTGTTCCATAATTTTGTTTTTGACACTCCTTTGTTTAATTTCTCAGTGTTGGTGATATAGAAAATGTGAATATATTATTAGTATTAACTATCTGTAATGAAAACGAAGTAACTAATTAAGTTTTCTCTTCTTCTTTTTTTTTCAATGGCTCTATTGATTAGTATTTTTTTTTCTTCGATTGTTAGGTGAAGATATTTATAGATAAAATAACAAATACAAGGGGTGGAAGCCCTAACAACAAGGGGATAAATTAAAAAGAATTCCGCCGCAAGGTCTCAAATGTATGCGATTTCATTTATGCATGTGAACATATTATTTCTTATTTTAACCTCGTAATTAATAAAACAACTTTATCGTTGCACCGAAATGTATAATAAAGGATGCATTGAAGAGGCATATTTG